GTAATTTAATTGCGAAGGTGTTTAGAAAAACTGACATCGGCAGCGCTGACTCAACAAATGCAAACAGCCCCGCCGCGGTGGTCTAGTGCCTAAGGCACTCGGCTGCTGACCCGCAGGTCGCGGGTTCAAATCCCGGCTGCGGCGGCTGCATTTCCGATGGAGGCGGAAACGTTGTAGGCCCGTGTGCTCAGATTTGGGTGCACGTTAAAGAACCCCAGGTGGTCGAAACTTCCGGAGCCCTCCACTACGGCGTCTCTCACAATCATTTCGCGGTTTTGGGACGTTAAACCCCACTAATCAATCAACAAATGCAAACAATTGATATTATAGTTCCAGCAAAAATTGAACCCAAGCATTCTCCATGGCAGTCAAGCATGCCATCTCAGAGTCACGCCAGTTCTCGGAACCGTATGCAGGCGTAACTTTAGTGAAACGGCAGTTGTCGTGGCAGTGCGGGCTATCTTGTTTTATAAACATTACATATGTACTCAAATAATGCAGTCGTCACGTCCAATTTACGTCTATTGTGGTTTTACGCCACCAACAGAGGTCGGTTCACGCGGCACAATCCCGGGCTTCCATTCTCGCAAGCAGAAGCGCGACTTATCAGATCACCGCTTCTGGTGGTGGGAATACCTGCGTTGCCTTGATTATCGTTGCGCAACTGTAAACAACTGATTATATAAGACATGTGCGACTGTATAACATCTCTTTTTTTTATTAAATGTATGTAAGGAGAGGTTGGTGCCAATGCGTGGCGCTGGCTACTCCTCATAACATCTCTTCATGCGTACAAAGTTTTTCACATTGTAAATTTGTAAAGTTCCATTTTGTATCGCTCAATAAAAAACACCATAGTCACCCTGCCTCCTCAAGCTTTGCATAATATCGATTACAATGGTACGTGTGAGCTGCCAAATTTATATTTTATTGTAGAGCGTTCGGAGTGTATCTAATGTGATCCTCACCACCCCTTTCCTGACTCCGGATATTTACTTCATAAGCTTACTCTTATAGGAGAAACTGTTGTCGTAACTCTTGGAGCTCTAGTAAGTTTTCACTTAACTACGCTATAAATGTAAGCGCAAGCGAGTCGCTACACGTGCAAGTCTTTGCGAACCCATAGTATGCTTCTTTTGGCGGCGTCTCGACAAAGCGCAGAGTGTTTCCACTATCCCCCTTTGATGCGTGTCCGCTGGCGCTAAATATGTTTCCGAATGCCGATGAACTCTGTCGCACCCTTTCACCACTGTTCGATACCGCATAGTGCCACGTGTTGAAATCTTGCACGTGACGACACGGACGCAGGTTATTCACTTTTTTTCCCTACAACACAGCGGCTTGGATGACATCAAGGTGGACAATCATATGGCAGTTTTGCCCTGCTTTAATGTGATAACGATACCACTGGAATGTTTTTCGGTATATGTTCATGTATGACGGGAAAGCCTGCAAACAATTCACTGATAATATTGAACGTCATATCACATGATGATGATGATGATGATGATGATGGTGATGATGATGATGACGATGATGATGATGACGATGATGATGATGATGATGATGATGATGATGATGATGTGATAGGTGGGGTTTAACGTCCCAAAATCACGATATGATTATAAGAGACGCCGTAGTGGAGGGCTCCGGAAGTTTCGACCAGCTGGGGTTCTTTAACGTGCACCCAAATCTGAGCACAAGGACCTACATTTCCGCCTCCATCGGAAACGCAGCCGCCGCAGCTGGGATTCAATCACGCAACCTCTGGGTCAGCACCCGAGTACCTTAGCCACTAGACCACCGCGGCGTGGCAATTTCATATCACAAACTGTATGTTAATGTGTCACATTAGTGCTCAAACATGACGGCTTGACGAACGTGGTGCAAGCCACCTTTACTCGGAATGCCTAGTCTTTTTCACTGTTGCATTGTTCAGTTTTTTTTTTCTGCTACTAGAGTGAAGTTTGTCGATCGCGCCTGTTTCAGTGACTCCAAATCGCGGAGGCGGGAGCCCCCTGGCGGGCGGCATGGCACTGGGCGTGGCCTCGGGTGACAGGCCGCGGGTTCGAGCCCTGTACGCGTACCTCTCGAGTGGTGAGCACCAGCTCAGCTTCCACGAGGGTGACGTCATCGCGCTGGTTGGAGGCCGAAACAAGGGCTGGCAGTACGGCGTCAACCTCAGGAATAGCAGGTATCTGGTCAACGATGTTGCCCTAGTGTCCGATCGTGTCGATTGATTTGTGGCGTTTACGTAAACCCCATGGTTCTCAGGATTTTGTTAGCGGACAGTGTGGGTAAACTGCTGTACCGGTACAGACTTGTGCATGCTCCATACTAGAATTCCGTACAGCTAAAAAAAAAATGAAGGAGCAAAGAATGGACAAGTACGAGCATTTACTTCCATCTGGTTCTTCATTTAGGAAAAACATGCATGTACACGTTATAGTACTCACCTGAAAGCACTACACCATGTTCAGCAACACATAATAGTTTGGCATCGCAATGGCGCTGCAATAATAATTAATGAAGCAGCAGCAAGCGCAGAAGCTTACTTAGTGAGCAAGCCGTTCATTGCGTTAACAAACAAAAAGCTGGAATTTATGAAACTACATATTTATATAAGTCGGTGCTAAGATGACCTGTGCGCTTTCTGTAGGCTTGTAAATGATCATGCACTGTGCTGTTCAATATCATGTTGTGCTTTGGGATGTGAATCATCTCATGTACGTATTTATGCACGTGTTTGTGAAATATATAACCAACTTGAAATGGGTCTGTCTTGATTTCTCTGTCCCGTCCTATTGTATGCGCTGTACGCAAGTTCAATGAAATTTTACTAAAGTGAATTTTGCCTTTTTTGTAGTCATCGTGTGGTGCTATATTCAAAAAGCCACATAGTTGCTTATACATTGCCCTAATGCAACTAAAAGTCGACAAACGCCGTTATTTTTAGTTCTTTTCTTCTCCGTTACTCTTACTGATTTTTATTGCCATCAGAAAGCTCTCAGCCCGCCCCGCAGTTTCCCACCGAAAGCCTCGTCATTTCATCTGGCCACGATGTTCTGATCTGACGTAATCATGTTCCCCCCTCACATGGTGTCATGCTAATGCAATGATGACGTCACAACAAAAATAAATTGTGACAAAATGCCTCGGTACGATGACGTCAGGTGATTTTTGGTACGTTGACGACGCGCTGACGTTCGCTTGAGCATCACGTTACCTTGGCCGGCTTTTGTGACTTATTTTTTTTCCATTCGTGAACCCTTGCGAGATACCTCTACGCCTAACTAAACTTCGAAAATTTCTTGACTTACGAAACACGTAAGTCTCCGCTTTCACAGAGGGATACGCCACAAGGATGTGAAGGTGATTCGAGGAAGGTACCAAGTTTTTAATTTACTACTGAGCCACATTTTATGCGTGATCTGTTAAAAAAAAAACACTCTCGAATTATCACAAGTAGGACTAAGGGTAGACGCGGACACAAGCATGCATATATCACGTAACGTTCATGTGGAAATTAATGTAGTCGTTGCAAAAGATGACAACTCACTCTTCATTTATCTTTTACTGCAATGAAACAAGCTATAAAATGGGCACCCCTCACTTTAGATCGGTTTGGTTTGAGTGCGCTCACAGGAAATGCTTTTAGACTTTGTCCTCCTTAAACCGACAAGGAAGATACCGTAGCTCATATATTTATATCAATGAAAACAAAGCTTTGAAAGGGGGGGAGGGTTGTAGGTTATATACGCCCTCTATTTTTACAGGTAGGGTGGGCACAGTACTCACCTGAGAAGTGGTTAGCGTATCACGCATGCTGTTGGTTAAAACGCAGGTATATTGCACACACAAAGCTCTGGGCACTTTATTTTGGAATGGCCTATTCTGTCGATTTATCTAACACATTGGACAATCTACTTCAGGTGCGGCTGGTTCCCCATAGCCTACACGGAACCGCATGATCCGGGAGACGCGTCGGACTTCGACAGTTTCATCAGGTATGACCATCTTCTCGGTATTGTGGCTCGCGAATATGTACAGCCAGCGTACCTTTGTAAAAAGGTGTTTCTGTGGGCGTCGTTCGGCCGCTGCAACATTGAATCTGTTGTACGTCAGCAAACGTTCTCAATACCATCACAGCCGTAAAGGAGGTGAACGGTTTGATTACATTACTATGTACTATTTGGCTTGCTTTGGAAATTGGAGAAAAACATCGAAAATTAAATAAGCAGCTTTCAAGAAGTTGCTTATCAACTGGTGATAGCTGTCACGGGACAGTACTGACATAGCCTAGGAGAGGCTGGAGGACCTCTTCTTAGCCAAAACTTGATTTGAGGTCCAACACAATGTTTTCGGAAGTTGTGCGCCCTTGCGTAGCATTAGTTGCGGTGCACTGATCGTCACCTAGCAGCAAGCGAACAAACACCTTCTATTGTGACCACATCCGAGATTTTCTCTTAAACGACCTCGTGTCTTGGCTGCGCACCATGATGCTTTCTTTGGCATCCTGACGTAAAGACTAGATGGGGATAGAAGAAGCTTCAAGCCAAGTATCGTAGTTTATACTCTAGTGCTGTTAAGTCCAGTGGTTATATAACGTACGACTTTGGTTTTGTCTCATGGGCATGGTCCTTAAATACCTTGAATCCTACGCAACATTTGTGGTGTGGGAGTCGGCGTCCTAATGTTATCATTTAGAAGTAATGAAACCAACAGTTTCGTAACAACGTCTGACAACCGTCACTTATAGGAATTGTGTCATTGTCAGACATTGTGATGCGTGCTTTGGTGCCCATTTGTGAATTAGAGCGTAGATCAAATCATTGGCATTGCGTCCGAAGGTTTAGTATCCTGATCAGGCGTTACGATGTGTTACTCTATTGTTTTACTGCTTTAATAGGGAGCAAAATCTTTGCGCTTAATCACCTGCTCCAGCTTGATGGCTATCGGAGTAAATGAACCGATGGTTCAGCAACAGTTTCTCATATCCGCTGCTTATAAACCCGGTGTTCTTGCTGAACCCCTGATGTATTCTCTGGTGTCCTAGCGTGAAGTGTAGTTGCTATCAAATGGTCTGATAGTTATGATGCCTGAAGACCTAGTTTCCTCATCGGGCACTGCGGTGTGCTACTCCGTGGTGTGCGCGTTTGACAGCGGATTACATCATTGTGCTTAATCACTGCTTCTGTCTTATGCCTAGCGCAATTCAAAACGCGGCTTTAGAACAGCTCCTCACCCCTTGCGTAGAGACATAGTGTCGTCAGACGCCGTGATGTGTGCTCTGGCGTCCTGTTGTGTGAAGCCCAATTAAGACGAACCATTTAAAGGGTCTTGCCCTAAAGATGGGGCGTCCTGAGCAGGCACTGCCCTGCGTTACTCAGTGATGTCCTTGTCATACAGCATACCACGTCTCTGTGCTTAACGGCCTGCTTCTGCTTCGTGCCTTTCGCTACTCCCCTTACCCTTAAACTACACTCGCTTAGTGGCTCGGACAGCTCTGCGGCCGTGCCGTCATCATCGTCGGAGTCATCAGGAGGCTCCTCAGGCCTCGGTCGGTGGCGGCCGCGCAGCACCTACTTCACCACCGACTTCATGTTGCCTCCTGGCCCTGCACCACGCCGTCCGCTGTCCAGCTTTATTGACGCTGTAAGCACTGTCGCCGCACCTTTCTTCCTTTCTCTATCTCTCTATCTCTATTCCTTATCTTCCTCACACTTGCTGTTGCCTGCTTGCACGCTATAGAAAAGATGACTGACAGTGAAGAGGTTGTTTGTTGCAATATGAAAGTGACATTTGGCACAAGGAGGAACGCTATATAGTTGAAGTTATACGGAAGTCCACGTGGCTGTGCTAAGGTGAATACTGCGATGCGAATACAGTAAGTAACTTTTACATAGAAGCTGACACTCATCTTTTGAAACAAATACTACGAAACAAGCAGAACACGTGCTTTGTTTTCAAAAGACGTGGTGCATAATCCCTCCGAATTGATCGCTCCAGAAAGCATCATAATCTGTAAAATGCAACACCTATGTTGAGCTCAACGCATCCCCAGTCAACGTGTTCGCATTAAAGTGGCAGTACTTACTCAGTTACTAATATAAGATTAAAAACAATTATCGAATTATGCCAGTGAGTACTTAAAGCATTAATATGTGGATACACCATGCATAGTTGAATGGCCTCGCCTTTGCGGCCAGTAAATGGGTATTAAAAAGCGGTGGAGAAGTCTTCACAACAGTGCTTTTATTCGCTTTGCTATCTACAAATTCTTTTTAACACATTCACACACACACGTCTCTGCTTGATTTTCCCGCATTTTTATTGCCGATTATGAGGCCATTCTCGGCTCGATTTTGCCACCGGCGTCGGCGTCGCCGTCACTCACTGTATATGTATACGTATCTATATATATGAAAATGCAAGAAATAAATAAACCTAGAAAAACACTCCGACACGCGTAATCGAACATGGGACCTCCGCGTCGTGAAAATGAGGCGTTAATCACTGAGCCACGCGCTTCTTCCGCTTATACGGCAAGCTATATACATATACCACTTTCCGCTGCTCACGAGCATCTCGGGGGGAATTGTGTTTTCAGCATTACCAACAAGGTGGTGCAAAGAGCGCGCGTCGCCACATCGTGTGGCGGCGCCCGCTCTAATGTCCTACGCGTACTTTGGCCGGCTTAGGAAAGAGGAGCGACGCTCCCTCGCGCGCCCTTACCTCGTGGTGGCGAGGAGGAGGTGGTCGTACGTCTTCGCTTGCCTCGAGTTTTACCTTCAACGATTCTGCTGTAGTTATCGCGCGCACAAAGGTCACTGCAATCATTGTAGTCTACGTTTGCGAAAAGCGCGCGTTTTAAGACCCAGCGAAGTAACAAATGAGACGCTTATTCGCGTGCATCCGTACCTGTGAGTACGTTTCGTGCGCCAGTTGTGCGTGAGAAACGCGGGGCACGTTTAGATCTGCTTTTCATTCTTCACGTGACCTTTCAATTTGTTGCTATCGCGTTCATTGATTCGCCTTCGCGGCAAAGCCGTGACATTTTCTTTTGATCCCTGTCGGAGATTGATGCTAGGCGCTTCTTATAGCAGCTTACGTTTAGAATAGAGAATTTCGCAAATACGAAGCTATATCGAGGGACATTCCATCAGAGACATTCCATAAAGAACAACTTTTCTCGTGCAGGCATTGAGCTGTTACAAGGAGCTCTTGTACTGTGCAATGTCAGTGTACGCGAAAGAACGACAGGTGATCGAAATTTTCGGAGCCCGCGGCACCGCGGCGTCCCTCATAATTAGGTCACGGTTGTCGGACGTCAAACCCTAATAATCATTAGTAGTAGCCTGTACAAGAGCCTCCAATACAGCTTTTCTGACCGGGAATTCCCCGCGTAGGAATGTAGTACGAACGTTTCAGCAATTTTATGCCTGCTAGACGCTTTCCTCTTGCATTGACCTCCTAATATGCAGGTGAAGAAGATGTCAATAACCATGATGCCAATCAAATTGACAGCGTTGGAGAAAAAAAATAGGAAGCTTTGCAATTGTTGAAGACGTAGGAAGAGGTGCATTGTGGAGGACGCGGTCAAGCGGAAATATTCATTAGAGTAGGAGTGAATAGTCATTACGTAGAAGCTCTACTGCTAACTTACGACACGCTATGACAAGGAATCTCCTATAATTTTGAAAGGTACAGTTAGGACAGGACATATATTCGTCTTGGAGTGTACTGTCTGTGGCCTCACGATAGTGATTACTATTGATAACGCAAGAGTTGCTGGGAAGATGAAAGCACGAGGCGATGAAAAGACCTTGCACACGGGGGATTTAGGATCCAACAATTTGTCAAGTGGTCTAGTATCTTTCGGGGTCACGGTGCTCGAGTGTCAACCCGCAAGTCGCGAAATCTAATTCTGACGGCGAGGGTTGCATTTTTGATGAAGGCGGATATGCTGGGAACCCGTGTACTCACGTGTAGGTGCCCTTTAAAGAACCCCAGACGGTGAATATTTCCAGAGCCTTCCACTACAACGTCTCTTATAATCATATCGTGGTTGTGGGACGTGAGACCTTAAAAATTATCATAATTAATATCTTCTCTCAGCAGGCTGAACTGGTTGTTGATTCGTTGGGCCTAGCGACCCTCCTTATTAAGCATGTTTCATCACTTACTGTTATGCAACTTCTGCCCATTTTAAGTGTCGCAAGGTTTCAAGCTATCAATTAATTTTTACTGCGTTCTGATATCGCAAATCCTCATGTTTTTAGTTGATATACTAGACTGATCGTATCGCAAAAATGTTACTATGAAAGCACCTATAAAGCCATTGCCCCCCCTTCCCTCCTTTTGGGAGATAGTCAAGCGTGCGGGCGCTGCCTCGCTTATGACTCGCAGCCGTCCTTCCCCTTACGGCTGGACCCGCGTGGCGAGGACGTCACCGACGAGCCCCATCATCGAGGGTTACAACCCAATCTACTTCCGGCCACCGGTTCTCCCGGAAGAGGACGAGGAGGAGAAGCAGGATCCTCCTCTTCCGGAGTCTCCTCAGCAGGTGAGCAACTCGAGCTTAGCATAGTTGTGATTGACTTTGAAGTGATAAGAGCAGATAGGGTGTGTCGATCATTGGGCAACAAGACACGACAAAGCAATCGACATAGGCATTCATGTGTTCGCTTCGTTTTAATCGCCACTTTCATGCTTTGTGAAGACATCTTGCAACGCCTCAAGCTCTTGGGGTTAATGGCTTTGATCCTAAATCACCTGCATTGATCGCGTAATCTTGGATTATTCAATATGTCAGAACAGGCGAAACAGGTGGTCTAAGGGCCCCTTTTTTTTACTAAGCGCACCTTGCAAGAAGAAGAGTGCTAACCGTGAGGCTTGATTCCTTTCGGCGCAGCCTCCTCAGCCACAGGAATCCCCTCGGGCGGCTCCTCAACCTCCTGTGGCGCCACCCCCTCCGCCACCTCCTCCACCGCCCCTGCCACCATCCATCCCGTGTACGGACGGCACACCCCAGTGGCGGCGGGCTGCGGAACCTTGAGGCCTCCCCGGCGCTCTATGACGTCACCGTGCCCGTTCCCGCTCCTGCCACCGCCGAAGCTGCCGCCGCCCGGAAGCATGCTGCACGGGAGCAGCGACAGCGGATTCGGCAACGAGGCGACGCTCACTGGAGCCGCCACACCGGCGGCAGCGGCGGCGGCGGGAACGACGGGGGCGCCCGGTGTGGTGACGTCAACGACGACGGTGCCTGCGTCACCCGACGTCAAGGGACGACGGCGGCGCTGACGCGTCAGGAGAGTGTCAGGGAAGGAGGATGAAGAGCAAGAGGAACAGCCCAGGTATACACATATCTGAATAAAAGTTGGGGTGTCCATTTACAGACTTTATTACCGCAGAGCTCTTGCGCTTATGGTTTCTCCATGTGGCAGTGAAAGAAACCTATCGTGATCATAAACCGGTACGCACTGTATTTGTAGATCCAAGATAAGTTTAAATGAGTCTATTTAAGGTAAGGTAACCTTGGCTAAGCCTAATTAAGGTTCGCTGAAAAGGGTAACATGTAAATACGTAAATATTGTGAAACACATAGGTAGAAGCGAATTACATCTCATTTGAACGAGTTAGGTGCTGAGTGGGGCTAGTGAGCTTGAGATCGGCAAATCTTACCCAGCTATAGAGTTAATACCAGGGGTTAGTGCTTATTACCGCTGCATTTAGCTAGTGCTAGTTAAAAATAAATTCAAGAGTGGGCTTGGCAAAGCTTTTTACTCAAGAAAGAGCACTTGTACAAGTCAGCCCACGCATGCTGGATGTGACTAATTAAACTCATCCGTTTAAATTAGTCACTGGAAGTGAATTGATTCCTTGCTGATAAGTGCTGGCTAACTGATGCCTAAGTGTATGAATGGCAAATCATCCACACACTTCGTGCAGCCTTGCGTAGATGCAAGCATCAATAAACCCAAGAGCACTTAGCAAAACTTGAAGAGTCTAACCAAGCCAGGACCTACTAGTGGTTCACCTACTGCCGTCACCCAAACTAGCGACTTGGTGTATTCTGCGCTTATTTTTTTTTCATACCATCGCTTGAAAAACATCAGCAGCTCAGTTTTTTATACATTTCATCGCGTACCAAAACTTACGGCATAGTTCCGTAAACTTTCTACTTGATCTACAACGCAATTCTGAAGTTATATAAAGTTTACAAAACCACTCGGTTCTTGGGCAATCACCGACAGAGGGCGTGAGCCACAGTTAATAGGTGATCGATAACTAGCCCAGGTTAATAGGCAAACACCTTTCCCATCAGTCTGAAATAAAAAAGCACACCAATGTGAACGCCGTTTTGGTAGTACTAAAGAGCATTCACCATGAAAGGTAGTACCTGAAAAAGCATTCAATACTACCTTTTTATTAGCACTGATATCGGTTAGTACGCGGGTTTTTATAAACATGCAAACGAGCACTTGAAGTATAAATGACCAGGGCAGTTTTTTTTCTGAACATTCGGACAACCCCGTCCAAAAAAAAAAAAGAATTGCTCGACTGGAAGCGCATTGAACAGAAATTGAGGTGCCCCGCCTCCACTGCACCGAAACTGAATAACGCGCGATACATTCCCGGAGTTATTCTGAGTAAAATCGTCGACGACGTGTTCACCCCCTCCCCACCATCACGGTCCCAAATCCCACCAATCCGTCTTTTCCACACGGAGCACGTTTTCCCGTATTCAGTGCGTCACGGCTTTAGAGGCGCGCGAAAATCCTTTCTGTTGATTGAATTTCCTCACTGATGCTTAGGCATCATCCGTTTATATCACTTTTTTCTTTCATGCATCGAATGCGGTACAAAACGACGCCTGGAACTGCGGTCGGCGCTGATCTGTTCCGTCTGTTTGGAACGCGTAAGGTTTTTGCGGTAGGCGATACAAGAAAGGCGCTATACCACCGAATGCGCAGGATGTCGGCCTTTACGAAATTTATGCGTGTCACGTTAGATTAGATCTCTGTAGAATGTCTACTTTGTGTCGCATGAAGCGTATACGGTTGAAGTCCCCCGTTCTTTGTTTCTTGTTATACTGTTCTGTGCGTGTGTTTTTTTTTTCATAAGTACAACGTCTCACTGCTTTGTGCCAGCAAAAAAACGTAGCGGAAACGGTATGTACATATTTCAGAAAGACTGCGTTAATTTCCTTGTAGTTTTGTACTACAAATAGGTTGTTTTCAATTTGCCTTAAGCTTTTTGCCACGTCGCGGAAGCACGCAGATGCTATTTTTGATAGTATGTGCCAATTTACATCGTTAGACTGATTCATTATTCAGCTAGGAAAATGGTTTTTATGCTGACCCAAGAACAGGTTGTGATACCCCACTTTACTTCAACTTGTCTAAACTTCCCAATACAAGAAAAAAGCAATGACTCTATGTTATTTCTGTCATTTTCTATTCCTCTCCAGAGAAAACGTATTCTCGTCCGTCAAACTGAAGAAGGTGCTAACCGATGACCGATCGGCACCGATGATCACGTGAGGCAACTAGCGCGCTGCTTCCTTTGTTTTCGTTATTTTTTCGTCATCGCCTAGGGCGTGATATGCCTCGACTAAATCAACGCCCACAACAACCGAGAAGATGAAACATTCCAGGCCATGGCCAATGCAGCAGCAGCGACTCTGCTAGAAGAACATCAATTCGTGCCAAAGGCATTGCAGTTGTTAATTTTCGCCCTTTTGCACGATCCTTGCCACTATTATTTGTTTATTTTTCTTGCTTCTATAGTCGGCTACAACCCAAGAATAGATACAAGGACCTCCAACAGACCGGCGGTGCCCACGTCAATCATCTCGGTCGTTTTTGTTCGTGCTTATGTAAACCACGCATATCTAAAACTGAAATCTTGTGGTTCCTACATGAAATTTTACCTTCCTATACACTTGTGTCCGAATCTCTGTTGGAGTTTGCGTGGACGTTTGAGTTTCTAGCTTAAGAAGGATGGACTGCTGGGCGAGTTGGTAATTCATCTTAACTGAGTTGCGCGAAAAAATTGAAGTACAAAAGGAAGACAGCTGGACACAGCTTGAAAACCAGCAACGCGAAGATGCTTCTATGTGGTCACGCCATGTACCTTATGATTGAGCAATGTGCTTGGCGTCACGCAAATGAGCAAACGTGATTGGATGAAACGTCTATGCTTACTTTCTCTTGTGCGGTGCAGTGATGTTTGCGGGAGGAGCTCTTGTTTGTTCTCGGGTTGTAACCGACCACAGCGTACCTATGCTATTTTTTAAGAAACTCGTAGTCGGACATCGTTGGAAGAATGTTTGTACACAAACGAGATTGGATGGACGCAAGGCGCCCCATTAGTAATAAATATATTATAATTATATACATATACATATGTACAAAAATGGTTGCGCGCCACTTGTTGACCTGTACAACGCGTCGGGGGCATCTTTTGCTAATAAAACACCCACAAATCCTTCCACAGCCTGTATGTGTTTTGTCTATTTTCAGACGCAAACACAAAACTTTTCTAGTCTAGCTGTAAACAGAAATGAAGCAACTGAGGATTGATCTACTAATCATTGCTGCATTTACTACTGGTACTGTTACTATTGCCACTGCCCCGAGAAGTTATGCCGATGTCACCACTCTTGCCACTTACATCGGTACTATTACAATCAGCACCACAATTTATAAAATTACCACCACTACCAATCCACCACATCGTTACTAGAATTCCTAATGTTAGTAATCCTACCACCACAACTGCTGCTACTATACAGCTAAGACAGCCACGGCCACCACTGTTACTTCAGCTACACTCACCAGTACTATTAACATAGTTACCTGACGTCACTATTGCCACCACGGCAACTGCTACTGCTTACAATACTACGATTGCTACTAGAGAAACAGGTGTGGTACTATTTGCGGTCATTCTTGTTAGTCTCGAGTACTGTTACACTTTGAGCCATGTGCTATTACCATGGCTGCTACTGCTACTACAACTACTACTACTACTATTAGCACTACTTTTCGACCGCTACCATAATCACCAGCTCTCCTTCACACGTACAAAACGTGTGCACGGAAGCTTCGAACCCACCTGTCCCTTTGTAACGATTCCGCAAGCCGCTGCACAGAAGAGTTCAAACCGTGCCAATGAAGAATTGATGATGACGATCCCACGGAAAACAAATAAAAAAAAACGCGGAAATGTTATCAGAAATCAAGCGAAAAAAGTCTGCGTACGGGATACATGCCCTGGCTTTCACCTCCCAGACTAACTAGGCAGCCCGGGTGGCACAAAAGCTCTAAGGAGATGGTTGGGGGAGGCGACAGGACGGAAGAGCTTCGGAGAGTGGTGGGAGAAATATGCAAAGCTTGCAAAAGCTATCGTGGAGTACCGAAAAGATGATTGAGTTAAAGTGATAAAAAGGTGAAAAGAAGGAGACCCAGCAGCTCTATGCCAGCCACATCGCCAACACTTCTTTTTTTCCTCTTCCAACTATCACGGCAGCAATGTGACTGAAATTAACGGAGTGGGTGCGACGACGTGCGGCTACGCACGTACAGACACAACCAAAACGAGGAGGCGTGCTTATCGACGGAACACTTCACCGTAATTCTCTACGCCGACCGCAGCGCCCTTTCTCGGGCCGTGTCTAAAGGAGTGTGTTACCACTCATTGTCCGCTAGAGTGCTTCCACGCTTGCTTGCGTATATTTGTTATTGGAAGGATGTTAGCACTTGGACGAGGTAAGAAGCGAGGACAGAGATGATGGGAAAGAAGCAGAAGAAGAAGAGAGAACTCGGCTTGAAACAAAGAAAGAAAAGACATTCATCATCATCTCATCTATTTCCGTTGTCTCCGTGATGCGCCTCCTTAGTTATACTCCTCGTTTAGTACATGTTATGAGGTTTAAAATGGACCTCCGATGTGCGTACACACTACTGTGCCTTACTGTTAAGCTTGAAGGAAAGATAAAAGAAATATTGGGAAACGAAAAACTGCGAACACACAACCAGTGTCCAAAAGAGTGAGTGCGAGAGCACGAAGCCGATCTGGGGATTTCCTGTCGGCGACTTCCCGATACGTACGCGACTGGGGTAACCGTGTGCTGGTGCCACAACGCAGGCAAGTTATCTTCTAATACGGAGAAAAGAAGAATATCTGCACCGATTTGACGGAAAGAAGTTGTGTCGGCACTCTATTGGTGTTTGCATAGCGCTGCGTCGTATTAGCGGCACCTGCACGAAAACGACAGTTTTCGATAAGCCATCTCGGAAGCTTCCTTGCATCCTTCCTGCGTCTTTTTGCGACGCTCCGCATGTTTCTGAGGCACCGGAAGGAGCTGGAAGTTCTTTCCTCCGCTGAGGGGCGATAAAAGACGACTTCGTGCGCCGATGTAATCAGGAGAGGAGGTTCTTGCGCAAGCGTCGGATGCAGGCTGCTTCGAGCAGCTATGCCACCTCTTCCTTCACTCTCCGACCGTCACCTCATCTGCCTCCGAACTCACGCACGGCCATCGAGTCATTACTTCGCGTTCAAGCTTGTCTGATTAGGAGCAACCTATTAGGAGTTGTCACTCTCCTTGTGACCTAATAAAAAGAGAAACAGATAGACGAAAAGTTTATTTGTCAATCTCCAAAGTGTGTGATCATCGCGCATTGGATAGCTTGCCCGGTATCTGGTGTCACAGGCCGGAAGGTCGTGCATTCGACTCCCACCAATGGAACTTTTTTTCGTTATCCCCTGATCGTATGTACTTTTTTCAACGTCATTTCACTGGCTATTCGATTTTATAGACATTACATACGTACTCCTACGATACAGCCTTCATGTCGAGTTAAGGAAAATTGTAGTTAGGCGCCATCGGCTGAAATTCACTTGTGCAGCAATGTTGTTGAGGGCTATCATCTTCACGCGCACCAGCGCAAACACCATAGCTTTGTTTCGGCTTACCACTTCTGGTGTTAGTTACGGCATTGTTACGCAACTGTGAGCAACTGCTAATATAAGACACATAGCAGTTTAACGTATGTGCGTGCGTACATTTCTACATATATTTAGCGCCACCTGATAACTTTTCGCTCAATAAAAAAATAAAATAAAACAAATTCACCGCTCATCCTTGCGCTTCGGATAACATCGATTCCCAAGGCACGTGGTATCTGCCAAATCTTTTTATCCCCACCCGATTGCGCAAAAATAGGTAGGTTCATTTTAAAGGAGATAGGTTGCGCAAACACGGACCGAAGAAGGAAGCCAAGACAGCACAACCGCAAGGTGCCACAAACAGCGAAGGGCTCTGCGATGAAGGCACCCCCAACTTCTCTTTCTGCAACAGTTTTAATCGTCTTTTTTACCAACCTCTCAACCGAGACATGTTACGATTTATACGCTTCTCCGTTTTTGTGAGCTCGAATGATGTATATTAAATGTGATTGGAGTCAAATCTATAAAGTACCAGAAAGCAAGGAAAATACGTATAAAAACGGTGACGCCGATGGCTGTATTACTTTTTCCGGAAGCCAGCCGCTTTCCAGAAAAAAAAAAAGCTGGCAGCATTGTCTATGATCTTACATCTTTATTAAACACTTTGTTTTATACGTCTGAAGGATATGTACTGCTTTGAGCGAGAACTCTACACTATATGCCATTGTGAAATAAAAAACAAAAGGGAAGCTTACAAGTGGTCAAACCGGAGGTACTGCCTGGTCCCTCCGCCAACCGATTCCAGAAACGTTGGAAACATTGTTTGTACTCTGCTCTCTCTCTTTTTCTGGGACGTGCTTTGCAATCGGAGCCGCTTCCTTCATCTATCATCCGGCGTAAGCCGGGCATTCGGGCTGTCCGTCACGTGCAGGGCGGGGGGGATATGGTGGGAAGTAGCGAGACCGGTGGAGTTGGAGGTGCCTACGCGATGATAATGTCGCGAGGGGTGGATGCTTGGTGCGGCATATAGTTCGGGCCCAGTAATCGTCGGTGCGACTCGGTATTTGACGTGAGCTCTCTTGATCCTTCGTAGAATGCTACATCTTCTATGCTTATCCTGGCTACAGCGATAGTGGATTCAGTCGTATACTGGTATAGCCACACAGTGCACGGTAGCTCATAACGGCTGCTGAGTCTCTCTACTAAGCATGATGTGCGGGGTTCATTTGCCGGTTAAGGAAGTTGCTAGAAATATCGCCGGAAGTTCGTACGAAATATTAGCTAATGCTCTCATTTGAAAGCCATGGCTCGTATATGGCTGATTTGCCAGGGTTATTTGGCACCAGGATTGAAAGGACATATTGATGTAGATCCTCAAAATGGCTAAACTTACGACCCCAATTTTGAAATCAGGGACCACTTCGATTGCTTAAAGAAAAAAAAAAACTGCTTTAGACCAGACGTGCCTCTGTTGAATATGAACATACTTTCGAAAAAGAAAAGAGTAAAAAATTGGATGAAGAAAATGATGTGCAGGCTAGACCGCTTGTTCGAGACACCAGCTTCACCACTTCGGTACTTTCTTTTTTTACTAATAATGACGAAATACTTTGAATAACCAACACCGAAGATGAATGCCGACTCAATCACAGAGCGTCAGGTCAAGCTACATCTTTCTCATTTTGAAAAACAAAAAAAAAAAAACAAGTGCTTCGTGCCTGGCTACGCTGGTAATCAAACCCAGCAGCTCTTGCATTGGTGGCGGACGTCTTATACGGCTTAAAACCTCCAAAAATACCAAGATAGGGCAGGCTATGCTCCCCTGGCGTTTTCCGTCTTTGCGGCGCGGTCTGTGACGCCAGCAGTGTGTTCCCGTGATGTCAGGATGAAATAAGCTCGAGATTTGGTCAATATACAAGAGATTGATATGTGAATTACGTTCTATCTTGCTTTACGACGACTCCTACTCTGCTTCGTGTCGCATGATTATCATGCGCAATAAACTGATTTCCTTGGCACTCTTCTCTACCTATCCCGACTACCCACCCCCTGCTCGTCTTTCATTCCAAGATAATTAAATGCAATCTCCCCCTCATCTTCTTGCCTTACTGATTGATTGATATGTAAGGGTTTAACGTCCCAAAACCACCATATGATTATGAGAGACGCCGTAGTGGAGGGCTCCGGAAATTTAGACCACCTGGGGTTCTTCACCGTGCACCCAAATCGGAGCACACGGGCCTACAACATTTCCGCATCCATCGGAAATGCAGTCGCCGCAGCCGGGATTCGAAACCGCGACCTGCTGGTCAGTAGCCGAGTACCTTAGCCACTAGACCACTGCGGCGGGGCCTTCTTGCCTTACTGGAATGGTAGTTACAACCGCACAGTATTGCTGATGGTCTCAGATCAGTAGCACCACTTTGCCACCGCTCACGTTCGCCGACTTTTGGCTAGATCGAAAAGAGTCTCGCTCAACGAAGGACAGGAAATATTTCGCGCGTCAAATAAGAAACAAGTGATAGCATAATGAAAAAAAAACAAA